AAAAAAAAAAAAAAAAAAAAAAACTCCTTATTCAGTGCAAATTCTCAAAGCGCACTGTTCTTCACCATTCATGTTGAGTTACGTGGCTAGCCGCGTTTTCAGTGACACAAGAAAAAGCAAGCTTAAAGGAAAGGGGAAAGGAGGATCATGTGGAGAAGAGAAAGAGGAGGCCGGTTGAGAGGGCGGCATGGAAGAAGAGACGGTGGAGGCACAGAAGAGGAGTTTGAGGATCGATGATTCGAGGCAGGTCTTCTCCCTCATCTTCTCCCACTGGCATTTGGGCTGATGATATTGCAAATATTGTTGGGCTGTAATTGCGAGTCCCATTTCTCCAATGACCTGGCGACATCGGTGAAAAATGCGATACGATCCGACTCGCCACATCAGCCACGGTGCGAGACGCCCCTGTCGCGCACCACCGACTACGAGTGGCGAGTGGAGGACCGAAGCTATTTGAATTAGTTTGGTTTAAAGTAGAATTTATTGATTGTAAATTGCAATCTCATGCTGTTTTTTTTACTGTTTCAAGAGCATAAGATACAGGTCTTCCACAATGGACAAGTTTGTTTTAGTAAATAACTTAAATGTATCCACTCCATGTCCAAGCTGATCATCATAGTATACAATTATACATCATATTTGCAAATTCTCTATAGCGATTTTGTTTTCATTTTAAGTTGCTTTTTTCAATCTAAAAAAAACAAAAGGGTTGCTTTCATCATTGCCTTTTGTTTTGTAGGGCTCCAATCTTCACTGAAGAAGTTTTGGGTGGTGAGAATGGGGAGGGTGAAGTTGTGCAGCCACCAGAAAGGTCTTTCCAAGCCAAATATGTAACAAGGGAAGGAATTGCAATTTCCTTTACTATATTTTGTTTAAACCATCTTGAGTAAGACTAACTGAATCTTTTGTTTGTTGTGGATGTATTTGATATCCTTCTCGGATTCATAGTTATGAATGCCATAACCCAAGCAATGAATATGCCCAAGGAACAGGCTACTGTTCAATCAGCATCACAAGCACAGCCAGCTGCAGCAATGCAAAGTGCATCCAATGCTGCAATGCGGAGAAGATGATATTTAACTATTTTGGGGAAAAATACTGGCTAAAATTTATACTTAGATTGGATCTTGGATTGATCTTCATAGGTTTCCAATTGCACGAAAATGTTTAACTTAACTTGTTAGTGAATCCAGTTCATTTAAAACCTCATTTAACCTAAAGTTGAGCTTGACTACCAATTTTAAGATGTTTAGTGTCTCTCTTACTATTTTTAGTAACATACTTTTTTTTATTTAAATAATTAATTAAGTACCCTTTCATATTTTGCAATTTAGGTTGTACCTACAAAATTGAGGATGGAGGAACAACCTTCCATGTCAGAGAACTCACCATTCATTCAGCAGTTCTTGATCTGCAATCTTAATGACACATCACTCTTTCAAAAGAAAAATACAAGTAAAATTAGACAATTGTTTAGAGAAAATAGGGTAATATTGGACTATAAAATACTACATATAATATGATTAATGTAGACGATTCCTCAGATCCCAAGGCATCTCGGTAGCAAGGGGTATTTATAGAGAGTCGGGAGCGAAGCATGGCAGTTGGGTTTCAACGTATAATTTGGCATAGGTCATGCAACGCCTGTGGAAATCTACAGCATCCTCAAAGCTATGGAACTTACATGGCAAAAGAACTATAGCAATGCGATAGTGGAGCCTGATTCCGTGCTGTTAATGTAAAAGATCAACCATGGAGCAACTTGTTTTGACCCATGCGAAAGTTTAATCAACAAATGTCGAGCCTTCCTCTACGAAAATTAGTATTGTAAATTTTGAGATGGTTTTTAAGAAATCAGTATGTGCAGATATCATGACTTCATGATTCTATTACTTGGACATGAGATTGGTATTATTTTGTTGAATTACCTATAAACGTAATATAGAGAATGACAAAAGGACCTTTTAAGTATTTATATGTTTGCCAAGCCTTTACATTAATTCCTTATATATGTTTAAAAAAAATGATGTATTAGAATATTTAGATTTCTTTTAGTGTGGTTGTAATTTTGAGTTTTTAGTTTTGATTTTAAAAAATTTAGAAACTCCAAATAAAATTAAATAGCTCTATGAATTAATTAAATTTGAAGTTTTGAGTAATTATTTTAAAATTTTACACTCAATAAATTGCTAATTTTAACTTTTAATTTTAGTTTCTAATTAGGGAAAAGTATTTATTTGCTTTACCTCTTAAAGATTAAGAGGAAAATCATCTTAAAATTACGTTATTTCAATAAAATCCCATTAAAAAATACTAAAATACCCTATTTTAAAATATGAATTAGAGTGTTTTTGTAATTTTTTATAGTTTGTAATTTTCTATAGTGTTTTATTAAAATTACATAGTTTTGAAATAATTTTTCTCCTAATCTTTATGAGATAAAGCAGATAAGCACTAATCCTTTCTAATTATTAAGTTTGATTATTTAAATTTTACAAACCAAAATTAAAAACTCAAAACTACAACCTACTAAATAGATGCATCGATTATGGATAAGAACAAATCTACTCCTGTAACTACCATTTCTTCTCAACAATCTTTAAAACAAAACAAAAATAGTTGATTCATTGACAAATAAATTCACCACAGTAAGTTCTGTAATTTGGGTCTCCATCCTTTTCCCTCTATTTCCCTCAAACAAAACATGCTAAAAGTGTGGAAACATTTATCAAGGATAAAGTTATGAATTAGTTTGGTTGGGTGGAACCCATTTTATAACAAATCATATATCATAGTGTATTTATTTTACCTTTTTTAAAACACCTATCAATTGTTGCTTCTAATTAATAGAGTTAATATAGATGGTTCTTCACTGAGATCGTAAAGCCTCTCAACAATAGAAAGTATTTGTAAAGACCCAGAAGGAACATGGTAGTTTAGTTTCCACAAGCAATTTGGGGCATAGGTCATGCAATACGTGTAGAAATCTACGCCATCCTCTAACTTTTCATGGCAAAATAACTATAGCAATGTAATAGTAGAATCCAAATCCTTGATCACTATACAAAAGGTCAATTATATATGGTGGAACTCCTTTGTGGAAATTTAAAAAACAAATCTAGATCCTCTCTCGAAAAGAAAAATGGCACCATAAACTGTGACATGTACTTTGAAAAGTCAACAAATATGCATATGCCATCGCTTCATGGCTCTACCACTTAGATATAGGTTGCTATTTTTGTTTTGTGAATTGTAAAAATAAATTTATTTTAAACTATAGGATATAAGAAGTATTTCTATCATATGTATAAATTCACATTATTTTGATGAATTATCTATTATAATGGTACAAAAAATAACAACAAAGGCCTTTTAAATGTTTGTAGTTCTCTAGTTTTTAGATTAATTCCTTTGTATAAAAAAATTTGATGTATTAGAATATTATAACAACAATAAACAAATCTAATCCTATAATTGTCATTTCCTCTCAACTATATTTAAAACAAAATAAAATAACAGAAAATTGTTTTATATAATGAATTGTATGTAATCCGTCCTATAAAATTATTTAAATACTTTTAAAAAATAATATAAGACAAAATTTAAGGACATTTAAAGCAGTTTACCTTGTAAAATAGTTTTCTCATAAAATAATAGTTGGAGTAAGACAAACAAGTCCGCTGCTGCACCTGGCAATTCCTAATATAAGCTTTTCCTCACGCGTACAATTCCCATCTCAGCCCTGTCACCACTAAAACCCGAAAGCCTAACTACTTCTTAACTCTGCTCCTCACTAGTGAACGACCCTGCTGGGGAGACGCCTGGAGACTGACTCCGAGGAACTCGAGATCTTGACTAAATTAGATTCGAGTTCTGAATTTTTTTTTTATTTTCTTTCCTGGGTGAGTAAGAGATCGAATTCAATCATTCAATTTGTCTTTTCATATTTTCCTCCCATTTTTAGTTTGAATGTCTTATTTATACACATGACTTTGCTTGTTAGTTTTATAGCTTAAAGTTTGTCTCCGCAGATTTCTGTAAGTGGGTTTAGTTTACGAAAATAATTGACAACAATTTGTTGATATCAAATCCTCACGTTGAAGTGACTATTGAGCCTTTTATATGTATCCACCTTTTTATGCTCCTGCCGAATCGCTATGCCTCCCATGTTATATGGTTGGTTGTGAGGCTTTGTTGTCCTCAATGAATCATTTTCCTTTAGTTTACCTTTGATCAGAAAAAAATAGGATTTCTGATTGATTCTATAAATATGACAGTTTGAACAGTAATTTATATTGTTGTAGGCTGTAAATAGATTGTTAATAGAACATCTGAATATGGGTCAAGAAGGAAAAAGCAGAAAAGAATAGAAAGAAATGATTTTGATTATGTTTACTGTTACTTATTATCCTCTTGCTTCCAAAAAACAGACTATTAGTGATGAAAATTGAAAATTTGTGTACTTATATCAATTTGGTTTGGCAGATTAACTTTGAAGATGTGCAATGTAATTTTAAGAAGATTACTATGGTATCAAATGTTAAGGATTTCATTGACATTATTCTCTTTCGTACCCAATGACAGATGCCAACTGTTGTGCACAAAGGTTGTCATTTCTCGCCTCAGGCAGTTTTACATGCATAAAGTGAAATACACTCAGCAGAATTTTCATGAGAAGCTCTCAACAACTATTGATGAGTTCCCTCGATTAGATGATATCCATCCGTTCTATGGGGACATTCTTCATGTGCTTTACAACAAGGATCATTATAAACTCGCTCTTGGCCAGATAAATACGGCAAGAAACCTTATTGGTAAGATTGCTAAAGATTATGTGAAGCTGTTGAAGTATGGTGACTCTCTTTACAGGTGCAAGTCTCTTAAGGTTGCGGCCTTAGGATGCATGTGTGCGGTTATAAAGAGGATTAGCCCAAGTTTAGCCTACTTAGAACAGATTAGACAACACATGGCAAGGCTGTCTTCTATTGATCCCAATACTCGAACAATCTTGATTTGTGGGTATCCTAATATTGGCAAAGAGCTCATTTATGAACAAAATCACTAGAGCTGATGTGGATTTCCAGCCTTATGCTTTCACTACAAAGTCACTCTTTGTTGATCACACTGATTATAAGCACCTTAGATACCAAGTGATTGATACGCATGGGATTTTGGACCGGCCATTTGAAGATTGCAACATTATTGAAATGTGCAGTATTACAGCACTGGCACACTTGTGAGCTGCAATTTTATTCTTCTTGGACATCCAAGGATCATGTGGGTACAACAGTGCACAGCAGGCTGCTCTTTTCCACAGCATTAAGTCATTTATGAACAAACCCTTGATTCTTGTCTGCAACAAGACAGATCTGCAGCCACTGGATGGGTTATTTGAGGAAGATACGAAGTTGGTCATGGAGATGAAAGCAGAAGCCTTGAAGACTGTGATGTGTCAGGGTGGCAAACCTGCAAATGAAGAAGGGGTCTTGTTGACTATGAGCACTTTGACTGAGGATGGAGTAATTGCTGTGAAGAATGCAGCTTGTGAGAGGTTGTTGGATCAGAGGGTAGAATTGAAGATGAAATCTAAAAGGATAAATGACTGCCTAAATAGGTTTCATGTTGCAATACCAAAGCCACGTGAGCAGAAGGAAAGACCTACTTGCATTCCTCAGGCCGTTTTGGAAGCCAAAGCTAAGCAAGCAGCAAAGAAGGAAAAGAGGAAAACAGAAACGGATTTGGAGAATGAGAATGGTGGGGCTAGAGTCCACTCTGCTAGTTTGAGGAAGAATTATATCTTGGCTAATGATGAGTGGAAAGAAGATATAATGCCTGAAATTCTTGATGGACACAATGTGTATGACTTTGTCGATCCTGATACTTTATTAAGGCTTGAAGAGTTGGAACGAGAAGAGGGTCTTAGACAAGCAGAGGAGGGAGATGAAGACTTTGAGATGGATGGCATTGATTTGACTCCAGAAGAGCAAAAGGCACAAGGTGAGATTTGGAAGAAGAAAAGCTTGCTTATTCAACAGCATAGGATTAAGAAGAGCACTGCAGAGAGTAGGCCCATTATACCAGGAAAGTTGACTAGGACGGGGAGTTCACAACAGAGAGGATGGGCAGGCAGTTATCCCAATTGGGGCTGGATCCTTCTTTAGCAGTTGATCGTGCACAGAGCAAAATCAAGAGGCCGGAAGAGGGAGAGGTCACTTGACAGGAGAGATAGTGACGGTGAGGCTATGGATATGGATTTTGACCAACCGACCAAAATGCTACGCTTAAGGTCTAGATCCCAACCGAGATCAAAGTCACGGCCTCCAAGTGAAATTCTCCCAGGTGAGGGATTTAAGGCATCTAAACAAAAGGCCAAGGCAATCAAATTGGGAAATTAATTAATTAGCATGATGGATTTGAAATTTTGAATTGAATTCTATCAAAGTTATATTTCAATCAAACTAAAAACTTTCGGGTGGCTTTATAAAAAAAAAAAAAAAATCAGATGGCAAGAAAATCAATATGTATTTTCATTTTCTTTACTAAGAAAGTAAATAGTAATAATTCTTTGAGTTTTAATGAAGTATTTTTATTTTTCATTCTTTTTTTTCCTCACAAACCAAACAAGAGCTCCTAATTTCATTTTTTCTTATGAAATATTATATTTTTCAATTTCTTCTCTTTCCTCGAAAATCAAACACAAACCCAAGTTTGTTCTTTTTCTTTTTTTTCTATGAAAGCAAACTAGTAAATCGTCTACTTATGAAACATTTTCGTTTTCATTTTTTTCTTCTTTCAAAAACCAAAAAAGAACC